AACAGGGTGCTCCGCAACCACATAGTACAAGTTGTTTGTAGGCCTACTATGTGGTCGCTGCCACCCGGGAAGTATTATTCAAATTAAATAATATAATTCTATTATTCCATACTTCCAAGTATGGAAGTATTCCATTATTCCAAGTAATTTCTAATTCATTTCCAACTAATTCTACTATTCCATTATTCCAAGTACTACACTCGGTATAAATATCTAAAGGTGGATAGAAATCCCTAAGTTGGTAATCCTGACAAAATACCAGCAACCACTTATGGCTTTTAAGATGTCATCACTGCCACTGCCGCCGCACAAACTTGCGGCGCACCGCAGGGGCAGGGTATAAGAGGGGCCAAAGACTAAAGAAAGATTATATATGTAGCCTACATGGAATTGTCTTTGTTCATTCTCATACGCGACTTCGGAGCGTACTCTTAGTATGATTTGTTATATCTTTATATAAGTATTTTTTTAACATGTTACTTGTTTTGATTCTTTATCATTGTTGCTAATTATACAAAACTTCTTGTTGTTTCTCATGATGATTGTTAACCCTCCGAGTGTCCCTTGTTTTGGCCTTAATGTCTGCCTATTTTTTGCTCATTTGCAAGGTTTTATTAAAACGGATCTGAGAAGCTTAAAAACAATGTTAATTATACTGTTCTATATACCATTTTGTTTGGAAAATCATGGGCTTCAATATTATATATAAAACATAAGGAACATTTGTTCAAAAAAAATTTTTAGGAAAAAAAATAAATTTTGGAAAAAAAAATAAAATAAAGTCCCCCCGCAATGAAATTGTATAAATTATAGGCCTATAAATATTTGAAAATAGCCACATTGTTCTAAATTTTATGAGGATTACAAATATATAATAATATAAGGAAGTAGATTTGCAAATAAATAAGTTATGGGCAAAAAACAGATTTCAGTACATAGCGTTTAGCTAAGAATGCATAGCCTAACCATAGCTAGGAATCTGGCTGATAATTTACATCAATATCACTACCTACTTCTTCAGGATCATCAACCAGCCCTTCAAAATCACTTAAATCTTCTTATAATGCACCACGTATATCACTACTTTTGATTTTTAACACTAAAACAATGATAAACGTAATAAAACACATCAGTCATCGGTCCGAGGTTAACCAAGCTGTTTACAAATACGCACGTCAGCTGTCTGCTACAATATTTTCGGAACTAAAATGAAAAGCGCTTAGAGACAGACCTCCGGAGAAAGCTCTGAATCTGTCAAATAAAACGATACCTAACTCGGTCCAGTTCAATCCGATTTTGTCAGTCATAGAGCCTTCGCCGTAAACAGTGTTTGTGAGTCGCTGCAGCGACACAAAACACTACACAAAGTGTGTTATGTGTCGCTGCAGCGACAAATAACACTCGGAGGGTTAAATTGTATATATTGTTGTTGATTGTGGTAAGATTTGATAGATCTTAACTTATTAAGTAATTTTTTAGTCTGTTCTATCTTCATGTATGACATGTATAAGCCTGAAATGTAACGTTTTGCCATCTTTGTATGCATATGTAAAATGGAGTTTTCCATAAATAAATAAATAAATATTATATATACACTATGATCAGCAAGTGATCAAGCCTATCACGAATTAGAATAGGGAGTTGTACACGCCCGTTTTTGACCCTGTCAGCGCCCTAGGCACAAATAATAGTAGCGCCCCTTTGCAATATATATGTAGGGTATCCACCGACCGGGAAATCCGGGAATCATGCGTGCGTTTTTTGAACGAGGAATTATGTGTGAATTTTGTATTTCACCCTGGAGTTTTCAATCCACGGTGATCGCGTATGACAACAGTGACGTTTCTGTGACCGCGGGAAACAATAATATGTCTACACACGGCCGCGAGGGATGATCAGAATATTACCGCGATCACGGAAGACGATGATAATGTCCACACGAACACGGGAAACACGAAGAATTTTGCCTCAATCGTGAAAGACGATGATGATCTCCAAACGACTTCGGGACATGATTAACATTTTGCCGCAATCGCGTGAGACGATTATGATCGCTGGAGGTACAATAATAATTTCTAAACGCTGCGAGGGATGATCAGAATTATGCCACGATCGCGCAAGACGATGATAATGTCCACATGACCACGGGAAAAGATCAGAATTTTGCCTCATTCGCGGAAGACGATCTTCATATGTCAGCGGGAGATGATGACCATTTTTCCGCAATCGCGGGAGACGATTACGATGTCTGCAGGATCGGGGGAGATACAATAATGATTTCTACACGGCCGCGAGGGATGATCAGAATTATACCACGATCACGCAAGACGATGATAATGTCCACATGACTGCGGGACATGATTAATATTTTGCCGCAATCGCGGGAGACGATTACCACGTATTCACGACCGTGGGAGACGATTACCATGTATTCACGACCGCGATGTTGATTACGATATCTACAGGACCGCGGGAGATTCAATTAAATTCAATTCAAAGATACTTTATTCACATATATACAAAAGTATACATGAATGGCGTTTAGAACAATACATAATATGTACATTATATCGCCTAGTAACTAGATAGAAAAGTGATACATTATACATATATGTAAAATAAATATTTATTGAAATGACCTTAAACAATAAAAAATTCCTCAAAACTGTATAGCGCTTTGGCCACAAGAAATCTTTTTAATTTCCTTTCAAAACATTTCATACTCTTTTCAGATTTTATGATTTCAGGAAAATAGTTATAATATTTTATCCCAGAAACAGTTGGTTCCATCGTTGATAGGATAATTAATAAACAAAACCGAAAACCCTCTCCTAGTAATATTACAACAGTTCATAAACGTTTTGTCTCTGTGGAATACAGCAATAGCCTACAGTACACACTAAAGAAAGAATTGAACCCTCACGGCTTAACTCTGGCCTATAGAACATCTAACAAACTTGGGGCGAAACTAAATAAAAGGTTGCCGAAAAACAGTAAACCTAAGGAATCAGCTACTGGTACTTATAAAATTAAATGTTCTGACTGTCCAAACTTTTACATAGGTCAGACCGGCAGATCATTTAAGAAACGTTTTTCTGAACATTTACCTAAACCAAAACAAACAGAACAAAAATCCAAGTTCGCTGAACATTTATTAAATTCAAACCATACTGTTAATAGTTTTAATGATAATGCAGAAATTCTACATGTTTGCAAGAAAGGCTTCAAGCTAGACACCCTCGAAGAGTTCGAAATATACAAAGCCACTAAATCCGACCCGTACAACATGCTCAATGAAAAACTTAATTATGGTTCAAACAAACTATTCAACACAGTCTTAGATCACTTTGATAACAATTATGTTGGCAACACGAGTCCTGGAGGCACAGCTGATAAACGAAATGGAGTGGGGTAAATAGTCAGTCGTCGTCGACCAGTTCAGTGACGTGTGCCGGCCGGCCAATTATGTTAAATGTCTACCGTGTTCGTGTTATGTTTGTTTGTGTGTTCGATATACTTAAGATTTGACGACATTCAACGAATGTAATTATTTTAACGTTCTGTTTTTGATAATGACTACGTAGTAGTCGAAACTATAGTCAACAGACACCGACTAAGGAATTGTGGACGTCAAGGTACGTAACCTGTTATAATTGTCTTTATAGATTTAGCTAAAGCCTTTGACACCATTGACAGACGATTACTTCTTAATAAGTTGAAATGTATAGGGGTGAGAGGTGTCACTTTAAAATGGTTTGAAGATTATCTCGCTGAACGTATCTTGTTCGAGGGCGACAGCTGGCCGGAGGTGTACAGCAGCGCCGAGCGCGGCCTTCTCACTGTCAAGCCATGGTTCGACCAGAATAAGCTAACCGTAAACTTATCAAAAACAAAATACATGCCAATTTCACTAAGATCTGATTATGATCCTTTAGATTTATATTTAAAATTACATAGTTGTGGTGCCGAGATTGAATGTGACAAGTGTGAAAGTATTGAATGTGTGAATGAGTTTAAGTATTTAGGGGTGATGTTTGATGGCCGGCTGAAATGGACTAGTCACATAAATCAAATTAGATGTAAACTACGTAAATTCATTTTTGTTTTTTCTAATATATCCAAAATTTTACCTCTTGATCTTCTAAAAAACATTTACCATGCATACATACAGTCTATTCTACAATTTGGGAATCTAGCGTGGGGTGGTGGCTATAAAAGTATTCTGGCCCCTATCGAAATTATTCAAAAAGCCATTATAAAAATTGCTCTACGAAAACCTCGCCGCTACCCCTCAGAATATGTCTTTGACGAGTTCAAAGTTTTTAATCTTTCACAGCTTTATGTAAGATCATTAATCATATACATTTTCAAAAACAAAAATTCTCTTTTTAAACAAACTTCTCACAACTATCCTACAAAACTTGATTATAAGTTTAAAAATTTTAGTCTAAAATTACACAATCTCCTGATAAAATAGATATTTAACGGTAGGAAAGAAACTACATTTTAAAGTGAAATAGTGTGTAGGCAAACTCTGACAATCAATATTTTTGTATACAAACAACTTGTAACATAAACATTTCTATGACAGTTAGAAACCAGCTGTTAGTTAAACCACCACTAAAACGACTTAAACTCGTCCGTCGGCTGCTAGACGTTTTGAAAATTAAAACTTAATTTCTAAAAAACTGAAACCGTAACTAAAGTTATGGCTTCGACATTCCCTAGTTCTCAAAATTATCTTTCTTTCAACACAAAAAACATGAAAATCCGTCAAGTGGTTGATTCAGAATCGTGAAATGAAAAGCCCTGTCACGATTTAATATATAGGATTAGCTGGCTTCAGAGTATTCCAAATAAACTATGATGTGTCACTTGTTACAACCTGCAACGTCAGTCGAGTTTTTCATAGTAATTAACCTCCTTTTTCAGAATCGGTATTGAGAATCGGAATCCCTTCCCTGATTATAAATAATTTGCTACCAGTTAGTGTAACTTACCAAGAGCTGTCCTGAAAAGGAACTCGTCACCATCACGTAGGAACACGTCCCACACCCTGCAGGCCAGGTCCAGGTTCATGGTCTTGGTAAACACTGTGTATATCCAATCTAGCAGATACAGGTCAGGGGTCAACGTGGTGTTGGTGAAGTGACTGTACAGCTCGGGAAGATTTTCTCTACAATCATAGATATATTGACACTATTAAATTTATTGAGCACGTCTGGCGAGCCTAAGTAAAATTAACATAGTTTAATACCACAAAATAAATAGGAGGAGATAAGATAAAAAGTACTCACATACTACATGATATGAAATTACAGTAACATTTTTTTTACTGAAACCCTTGATAGTCATATGGACAGGACCTTTATACATAGGCATTTACTCATGGATTAGCCCAAAGCCACATTAGGCGGTCAAAATCTGGACATTAATTAAAAGGGATATTTCTCAGGCTTATTCTCTTGTAATAAGTTGTAGAATGTCTTGAAATATGCCGTAGGAAAAACAAAATTACTCTAAATACTACATTAAATACTAAATGCCATGATCATGACTAAAAATGTCATTTTTACTCTCGGTCATCTTGTACCAAAGTTTTTGTACAACATTTTAGAGGTTCAGTTTTTGATGTGAACATATCTGTTTTGAGTGGTTGTGGGTGTGCAAGTGGATGTGCACAGAGCTACAGACCAATACTGATCAAATAAGGTATGTGAGTACTAATCCAAGGTATCTTTTCTTTTTTTCAGACAAAAAATATGTTACAAAAATTATAATACATATAAAGGATGGTCCCCACATAGGCAAAGTCTGTGCGTGGGGAACGATTTGTATCAGTCCATTTACTACAGAATCTTTGATGTCCATTCAACTTATAATCAATTTACAATACTTTATACTACTCGACATACCAATACATAATTAAGAAGGAAAAACACTTTCACCAGGGGGCTACAGCAGAAAACTTAACTTAAAACCTCATGATGAAAAATTAAAAAGGATAAATAAGGTATAAATAATAAGGTATCTCCAGGTGTTTTGTATATATTTTTTTTAATTTAGACTTTTAATGGTGTTTTTTTTTCATAAGACTTTAAAAATGGAATTTTCAAAAACTGCTTGAAGGAATTTGGTTGAAATGTAATAACTTATGTAGTACGTTTTGTTATTTAATTTGAAAACAAATCAAATGTATTTAAACTTTGTACCTGTAAAAGATATTATAATAAGGTAATGAATATGAGTTTTCCTCTAAATATCTAGCAGCTAGAGAGGTATACAAGGCGCTGCAGTGTACAGAAAACTTTTGCATGCGAGATAATAAACAAATTGAAATTATTATTATAACTAACCTGAATAGGTGGTCATAAGTTGAATAGTAGGCTTGCATGTGTGGTTGACTGAGATGGAAGAATGCGCGGTGGCAGGGTTGGTCCAACAAATTAGCAAAGCATACAAATGCGTCAGCAGCCTCCATGTTGAGTATCAGCACCGCTGCGATGAACGACATTCCCTGCACAAACTAATAGTTTACAAACAAGAATGTCCTTGAGAATGAAAAGTAAAGTAATAAACAACACCCCAGCCACAGCAAGCCTGCAGACTAGGTGAATTTCTATTTATTTGATTGGGCTTTTACTAAAATATTTCCTTAGATGACAGATTTATTCCCTAGTTAAATAACATAATGTTTAAAAGGTCTAGGTTTGCTGCTACAGGTAAGGGAAATCATGTTTTAGTAGATTGTTTTTTTTTTACCTTTAAAAACATATAAATGCATTCAGTACGAATACAGTGTAGTTGCCAGCTGTTCACATTCAACAGATGACAATCAAAAACTGGAGGTTATGATGAAGTAATGGAAAAGAGTATCTTTTTTATCAGATTCAAAACTAATTATAAGATGGATACAACTCTTGCCAAGTGTTTTCCTATACCAAAAATTTGATTAGCACAGATTTAGATTATTGTCTTTTAATTTGCAAAGTTAACATCAACCCATATCAATCGTTAGTTTATCTCAGACTTGATTAAATTTTCTTAGTATATTTTAAAGCTCTCCCAAAAAATGAAAAGACCCAGGCCTAGACCTAATTATTTAAGAGGGCCTATATAAATTGAGTAACAAATAATGAGGGTAGCAAAGTCACTATCACCATTCTAGTTCATAAGATTTAGATTGTGAAAAGTACCTACGTACAATAAAAAATATAGGAAACAAAAAATAACAAAACAAATATACAAACAACGCTTGAGGTTTCATCAATATAAAGAAGAAATATCCATCATAACAAATATTTTAACTTATAAAATAAGATTGTAGATTAGTTAAAAGTTTGATATGAAGCCATAAACAGTTTTATGGCAGCAGGCAATGGCCAGCGGCAAATAGAATATTCACAAGAATACTGACTGAGTTAGAGATAAAATTTAACAGTCATCAAAAAACTACTATCTATCTATCTAGCTATCTATTAATCTATATATTAAAAAATATCGGTTTTCCTTTTCCGAGTCCGTCCGCCTCTTCTACCCGACCGAGTTTCATGATTTTGGTCTTAAATTAAAGGTATGCACGCGTAGATTTGCCATCAAGCATCGGCATTCATTTATCTGACGTACTACTCGAGTTATGCACAAACGTAATTTGCTCCCTTGTACATTTCTTATGGGAGATAAATTTGGTTTTTCTTTTCCGAGTCCGTTCGGCTCTTCTACCCGACCGATTTTCATAATTTTGGTCTTAAATTAAAGGTATGCACACGTAGATTTGCCATCAAGCATCAGCATTAATTTATCTACAGTATTACTTTACCAAAAAACATAAATTAGATTTTTTTAAATTGTTACTTCAATTGAAGATATATTTCCTCAGTTATAATTACGTAATCCTATATGTTTTGGTCTAAGAACCTTCAGTGAAATACCAGCTTTCATTTGAGCCCTTGATTATTAAGATCGGACGTACCTGAAGCGCGCTGCTGAATTCCAAACAATAAAAAATGTAATTATTTTGGGATTTACCGACGACCAGTGATCAATAACCCCATTTTTATTTTAGTTTGTTTATATGTTTTGTTCTTAAAATACTCCTAGAAATAAAAGCTTTCATTTGAGATATAGATCGTTCGTATCAGTTATGTTCAAACTACTGTATTACTCAATCAAAAAACATAAATTTGGTATGTTAAGGAAAAGTTACTCTTTGTAAAGGAATAAACAATAATTTTATATTCCTCTATGTCAGCTGTTTACAAATGTTTAACAACATTTGTTTACATCAATCATATGTACTTTTGTACTTTTCATTACAACAATTCAATTCTTTCTAATAAGTCTTACTCATTTTTCTCTTTACATTTTTTTTTAAATTAAGTTTTTTTTACACTAAATTCACTCGGTCCTTCAGTATTATTCCCCATAAGTTAAATTGTTTGTTTTTTTTTTTTTTATTATACAACAGGTCTTTTAAATGGCACAAGGCTTATTGTAAAGAAAATGCATAAAAATATTTTAGATTTGGAAATAATAACGGGGAAGAACATCGGGCAACGTGTACTCCTGCCGCGCATTGATCTTTTGCCTTCAGATACAACTGTGCCATTTTCTTTCAAGCGAAGACAATTTCCAATTAAGGTAGCATTTTGCATTACCATTAATAAAGCGCAGGGGCAAACAATTGATCGGGTTGGAGTCTACTTGCCTGAACCAGTTTTTAGCCATGGTCAGCTGTATGTCGCCTTATCGAGAGGAAAATCATTCGAAAAAGTTAAAGTGGAAATAAAACCAAAAGGACGACGCACATTGAATATTGTATGGAGAGAAGTGTTGTAAAGGCAGATGATTTAATATTTGTATTTATATTTTATTTGTTATTTAATGTAATGGTGTAAAAAAACAAATTTTATTTATAACATAAATTATTAATTTGAGTAAAATGTTAACACTTAACACTAATATTCAGTTTAATAAATTTAATTATCTTAAGATTTTCTGAAATAAATTTCAATGCTGCGGAGCAGCACATGTCCTCTAGTTATCTATAATATTAAAACGAAACAGTGTTTTTTTATTTCACGATTCTGAATCAACCACTCGACGGATTTTCATGATTTTTGTGTTGAAAGAAAGATAATTTTGAGAACTAGGGAATGTCGAAGCCATAATTTTAGTTTAGGGTCCCAGTTTTTTAGAAATTATGTTTTAATTTTTAAAAAGTCTAGCAGCCGACGCTAAGATTTTAAACTAGCTTTTGGCATAAAATAATTTGCTTAACATAACAGCTGTAAACATTCAGCTTTTGTTTTACAAATTCAGCATTTGGATAAAAATGTAAAGACATACTTAGGGTTAACTTATTTATACTATGTGTAATGCTAATCATTGATACGTTCAATTCTTCTGTAAGAGGATGGCAGATTAATTAAATATACATAGTAAAATACTAGGATGTTCAAATTATTTTTTTAAAGCAATCGTTGTAATCTTCGATTTGTTTTAGAGCATTATAATTTGTTTTAACTAACAGCTGGTTAAATATAAACTATGGAACTATGAGGTTATTTTATTTTTGTCATTGATTATAGGAAATAATTAAGATTAGTAGAGATAATTAGACCACAGTTTAAACCACAGTTTTAACCAAAATTAATTAAAACACAGTACAAATCGAAGCTCTGTACACGAGTCTTAATAAAAAAGGATAAATGCAAATTATTTTACTGCTCCACTTTTCAAGGAAAGATTATAAAAATAACAATGTTTACATGTTTTAATTCTTCATGGTAGCTTTTTGTTTACAATTAATGTTTGTCTGCTTTATTTTTGTTTGGATTAGGCCCGGAAATATTGATGTTATAAAAAGAAGATCAAGAATAATCAGGAATCACGATTTTAAAAATTGCCACCACAACCTCAGCCGGGTTTTATACAAAGATAAACAGATGGATGACATAGATTGGACACAACGTCAACATTGGCCTAGGATACTGCAATTAGACAAACCATCCTTTTATGAAATCGTGTTCAGTTGTGGTTACGTTTGGGGGCGCCTATATCAGCGCCCCCAAACGTGAAAATATCACTTTTCTTTCAACTATGAATATATTGTAGTTTAAATTAACTAATATGGGAAATTACGATGTACATTTATTCAATGAGGGTGGGTAATTATCAATGATAGAACTGATAACGGTATGGATAATAAACATTGACAATTACGTCATTAGCTTTACTAGCGTGTTTACTTTTTATATTCCTGCTACATGTGACCAGTTCTTTTTTTCAAATGAATGTTATTTGAACCAAACAGCTGTTTCAAAACAAACTGTTATTGTTTTTACTTTTCTTTGTTTACGCTTATTTATTTAGCAATTAATGCAGTGAAATTGATATAAAGGATAGGTGTGACTATTAGTTTTGATGTTAGGACACCAAAGTTAAATTATGTGTACTGTGAATTTTATTGGATACTATAGTTTTATTTTAGGTCGTTTCTATTCAGACCTACTGGGAATTGTGTATAGTAGTTGTATTGTGGTGATAATAATTGTTATGGAAGAGGCAGGTATGCTATGGAAGGTGGTATCGTTGACTAGGTCTATACACTTCTCAATTGAATATTACTCTCTCTCTACTGGAGGCTACTTATAATCAGTGTGCGTCTGTGCGAGTCGGCTGCAAATCTCACTTCAACGCTTTTCACATCGTAAAAATTGCAGAATTGCTGTTTTATTGTAAAATTATCGGATTTAAAATGCATATCGTATAGGCCTATGATGGAATAAAAACATATTTCGTCACACAACATTTGTTTACAAGATGATTTTTCACATTAAAACTGCAAGAAACTTTGTCTTTATATATGTAAACTAGCTGATCTGAATTGTACACGGTTTTAACTGACTACTGAATTCCCGTACGTAGGACGGGCTAACACCTCGTATTATATAATATTATAAAGAAGAGGAGGTGTTTGTCCGTGTGTCTGTGTGTCTGGGTGTTTGTATAATTGTATGAGCTAATCTCTAAAACTACTGAACCGACTGGGCTCAAATTGCACACAAATGAAGCTACAGCTCTGATGATACATATAGAACTATTCCTGCTTCGATATTGATCTAGGACTCTGCCCCGTGGGCTTTCAAAAATCTCAGGTGAGATTTAAAAGTAAATATTTATTGATGGTATGGTATCCATGGTAACAAAGAACAAACCCACAAAGCTTAAAAATCTAAACAAGCAGAACTAACTGTCAAATGAATTTTGATTTCACAATTTCATACAGCTGGTCCAAACAAATTAAATACTGCATGAATATTAGAACAGAAACTGCATGGATCATAAACATCAATAAACTATGTCACTCGCCTGAATGTAAATATTATTTAACATTACTTAAATGGAACTGTTAAACCATAATTATGTCAATGCCAAGAGTATAGGATTCTTTCATTACAGTCATTTGTTTACTGAGTCTCTTCTAATATTTGTGAAATGCTGTAATAATATGTTACAGGGAATAATCCAATGTTGAAAAAAATATTTTTGGATCGATATAGTAAAATAATTAAGATTCTATAATCATTGCCGTATCAACCTAGGCTCTTATCCTGGGTTTTAAAAGAATTATTTTTTGGACATATTTTTGTGTTATCAGTAGGCCTAATATTAATTAATTAATATTAATGTTAATTACCCCTGCTGCAGCAAACCTACAGACTAAGCAAATTTCCATTTGCTTGATTATTATTTCACTAAAATACTGTTGGATATATTTAAGTTTCATGATTTAAATCAAACAATTAACAATTCCATATTTATATTTTTCCGTTTCAAACAAAGCTTAGCCCAAGTAATATTTTCCGCTATTCAGCCGCTCTTTGAGATAACGAAGGTATGCGGCCTTTGCCCTCAACGCTGATATCCTTCCAAACGACACAGTCCACTGTCGTCCGCCGCTGAGTAATCACCATATTTCTATCGTCTATCTGCATAATTTTTTCATCATCCCACAACTTAAATTCATTCTTCATATTACAACCATTAAATTAATCAGTGTGTACAGTGCTAATAGAAGTGACACTAATTCTGTTTTTTTCCAAGAAGAAATTATTTTTTTGATCATTAAAAGGACAATTATAGAAATAGTGCAATTAGTTCAACGTGTACATGAACAGTTATCGTCGACGAAGCCATTGCCCAGTGCTTTAAGTCAGGTGGGGTACCCCAAACCAAATATCTCTTCAGCTTCACTAAGGTCTGTGACAGTAATTTAACATCGTTTTGCACTTTTTAACAAGATACTAAATTTTAAAACTCAAATTTTAGTAGCCTAATTAAGACTGATTAATTTCAACCTCTAAGTTACATCTATTTTTCATATTTTACCAAACAAATATGTTAAACATTTTGTGATGGATTTTTGTTTACAGTAGACCTACAGACCATTCAACATGTTATTTTATTATACCTTAAAATCTATCATTGTTTTTGTATCCTGGGTAGCCTAAATAAGTGTTCAGAGTCTGAGTCAACAAAAACATACTAAAAAAAATTTTATTTATATTTATTTTCAAGTATCAAGTTAAGTAATACAGTTCAATTTTATTTCCAAATTAATGGAGGGAGTGAAACCATTTTTAAGGTATTTTTAAATATAGTTTCTTTTGCATACTGACTCCCCGTTGCAAGGCACGGGTATAGCTGCTAGTTTTTGTGGTAAAATAGAATTGGGAAAAGTCATAAAGGATAAAAAATAAACATCTGATAAGCCTTTTATGTGCTCGAAACTACAGTTGACTACATAGTAATTTGAAAGTAATTATTACAACCATACTATACCAACTAGACCCTTAAAATTAACCATAAACAAGCAAAATACAATAATTTACAGGAATTTAAAACTGTATTTTACTAAACTTCTTCTGTAACCATTAAGCTTGCATTGTACACTTCAATATACTAGATCAGTTATTGTTATATTTCACTCTGCCCATGATTGTAGTAAAACTGGGCATTTGAATCCAAATTAAACAAAATTGGACCACGATTGATCAGTTATTGTGTTCACGGAAATACACTTATATATAAAAAATAAAAATATGAGTGATTGTAAATCGGTACGTGTCTTGGTCTTATCATGCCACCTATTTACTAAAATGCATCTGATGCTAACTTGGTTGATGGTAGATCACTGGCATTAGTACCATGGGCATATATGCCCTGAACTAGTGATTTAGAAAAAGTTCAAATTCGTTCAACCTACTTGATAAAGCTAAGAATTTGAACCCACAAAAAGTTTCCCTTATATTTTGAGCAACTCTTAACCAAAGTTGTGGGTGAGATGCTCTTTCTTACCTGCACATAGCCAACATCAGGCCTGTAACAAACATAAGCAGCCAACAAGCAGTGCAGCATGTCATAGTATGGACCGCCTCGCTGGAAGATACAAAGGTGAGGAAACGTACGACTGATGTCTAGCTGTATAAGCTCCATGCTAGCTTCCTTGTCGTTCTCACTACTCGGTCCTCCTCCACGCAGCCTATCTTGGGCTCTGCAAAGACAACATTTAACATAGCCTATAACACTTATCCTCTAAAAACAACATATTTTGTTCAAAAGTTGTCTTTGCAATACAATGGTTCCCAAGGACATGGAAAATATTTAGGTTCAACATTTGTACTTATCTGTAATTAAGAGTGAGAATAAAATCCAGGCCTAACCATGCAACTAAAAATTAGTTCTCACCTCTAACTTAGATACATAGGAGATTAAAATTAATAGGGATGAGTCGATTCTCGATACCATTGATACTTGGCCTTTGGTATCAGTATCAAGAACCGATCATCAGAAATCGATTCTGATACCAATACCCGTCACGCCCACAAGACCTACAACTACAACCAAGTTTCCGTGACCACGGGAGACGATGAAGACGTCTTCTTGGCCACAGGAGATGTTCATAATTATGCCGCGATGGCGGAAGACAACTAAGACATTTCCGTAATCGCAAGATAGTGACGTCTACACTGCCGCGGGATGTGTTCATGATTTTGCTGTGATTGTGGACCTCGACGATGATGTTTCTGTGACCGCGGGAGTCAATGATGACATCTACAAGGCCGCAGAAGATTTTTGTGATTTTCCTCGATTGTGGGAGACCACGATCACGTTTGTGTAATCGCAGGAGACGATAATGACATAACGTGATAACGTCCGTGATAACGTCATCACGGCCACAGAAGATGTTCATGATTTGCCGTGATAATTTCTACGTCATTTCTACATCGATGACGTTTCCGTGATCATGATGACGTCTACACGGGATAAAATTATGCATGGCATATCATGAAATGTTCATGATTATGCTGAGGTAGCGGGAGTCAATGATGATTTCAACACGGCCGTGGAATAATTTCATGATATTGCTGCGATCGCAGGAGACAACAATCGCCTTTGAGTGATTGCGGGAGACGATAATAACGTCATCACGGCCACGGAAGATGTTCATGATTTTGCTGCGATCGCGGGAGTCCTTGATGCAGTTGTTGATGGAGTATAGCAGGGGCAAAATTAATGCTATGTCCCGAAATCACTGCGCCATCATAAAATATCTGAAGCGATCATAGTGATTTTTTGAACATCTACCACTGTCACGGAGACATCATATCATCATGAACGTCTCCCACAGTTGCGAGGTATCATTGTATTCATTTGCGACGCGGCAAAGTCACTGACAAATCATGAAGACATCATTATCGTCACCCGCTGCACAACAACTGCGCTATCTGGCGATATTATGATTTTCTCCCCCCATCATCATTAGTTAGCCCACAAAATTTAGGCTGTTGAAGGGTAAGTACCCTCACTACTTTTTACTTAAAATATAGCCTATGTTGCAGCTGGTTGACGCAAATGATCTCAAAATTATTGAACACACGTCAGAGCATAAAATTTAACAAGGCATGCATGGACCTGAACATCGCCCCCAACTACGTCCAAGTAAAAGTAAAGAACAAGAGCTTTGCTGCTCAAAAGGCCAAATCTTTAGCAGAATCAATTTGGATAAAATACCCCTACCGCAGCAAACCTGCCGACTAAGCAAATTTCCATTTGTCTTAATTGATTTTCAATTAAATATATTTTAATAACATTAGGTTTAACGAGTACCTAGGTTTGCTGCTACAAGGAAACTAATAAAGTGTGTTTTTTGTAAAATATTGATAGCTTAGTACAAAATAAAAAATTTTATCAAAATACAAAATGTATCCATAAACAAGCAAACTACAACATTTGACAATATTCTCCATAAGAATAACATGGGAATTTTAAATGTACAATTTTTTTTATTTTCTCCGTTACTATTAACCGAACAAAAATACTTTTATATACTAAATTAATTGTTTTTTTAAGCTCTTTAAAAAGGTCTAAAGAGAAATTGGGAAATTTTGTGTTTTGAGGGTCAAAAGTGAGAAAACCCAATTTTTACCCCATAAAACCCCCCCGTAAAGCCCCGTTCCCATTGTCCGATCATGCTGGTTTGCGAACTCATTCAAGTTTATCCCGCTTTACACCTTTAAACCAAATTTCATCAAAATCGGACAAAAATTACTCAAGTCATCGCGTTCACGGACGTTTATATATATATATATATATATAAGTCTATATTAATAAATAATATGTAAAATAACATGAGTACCCTTTTTTTATATTCTTTTTTATTTAATAAATCACAACATGTTTCGTCTCTAAGGACATTTTCAAGTGTGTTAACCTAATTTCAAACAAAAATATTATGTTATGAATAAATACAGCTGTTAATTTTGTTAGTACCTATGTGAATGAATGTTTAGTTGTTGGTTTTTCTAACACTTATAATTTTGTTAAATATAGGATTAGTGGTTTGTGTGTGTACTATATTTAAAATGTTGTTTCTGTCTTCTTTGTAGTGTTTATATATGTGAAAATTTTCTTTTATGTTCATTATGGTTCCTTTGTTAATAATGTCTAGTATGGTAATGTTTTCGTTATAATTTTTGTATGTATGGTATATATATAAGTATTGTATATATATAAGTCTATATATATACATATATAAAAATTTGAACGAATGGTGTTTTTGGCCTCTGGGGACATCAAAATGAAAAAGTAAATCGGTCCCGGGTCTAGGTCTTACCGTGCCACCTACGGTAATAGATTCTTCCCTATAGGGAAATTCGCTAAAATGAAATTAAATCTCTCTACAAGAAGAAAGATATGTTAAACAATTTACTCTTGAATTCACACATCGACATTTTGAATGCAATCCACCCTTCTCAAATTAATAATGTTTTGATGAATATCGATAATCAAATAAATAAAATCATTTTCAGGAAAAAAGAAACACAAAAATGCAAAATAGAAAAACTTGTTGAATTACAGTCCAAACCAATTGAGTGATTCATATCAAACCATATATTTTTTCCTAGAGTAAAAAACTGTACAAACTTGACTTTTACCGAACCCGAAATGAACGTCCTCAATAAAGGACTCAAACACAACATATTGAAAAGAAATTGGAATAAAAATTTAACCTCTGAGTTGTTAAATGCTGAGATAGCTATTAGCTCCATCAAAGATGAAAACTCTAAAAATTACGTCAGGCAGATTATCTATATATTAATACGCAAGCAGTTTTCTTTTCACAGTCATAACTCGATAACGGCTTGATGGATTTTAAAGTTTGAGGTGTCAAATCAAAGGTATTTTCACGTAGATGTGCAAATACGTCTCAGAATACACGTCTAAGAAAGGGCTCCACTTAAGTACACTTAAGGGCTAAAGTTTGGAAGGCGGCGCTATCTGTTGACATTAGATCAAACTCATTTTCTTTTGTTTACAAAATAACATATGGACGTAGTTTGAAATAGTTTTTTTAAGGTTAACCACAGACTGCAGGACTTAAAACTTCCAGAGTAAAGCTAGAATTTATATTTTGTTTCAGTCTGTTAACTAAGTCTGGTTCATAATCAAGAGTTTCCTAGCAATACTAGACAACAAAGTGTTTGTAATAGTTAAATCATAGACAAAAAGAATAAATATTTAATAAATATTTCATTATTTTTGACTATGGTTAAATTGATTTACCATCGTACTTTACTGATTATCATGTAGTTACAGTTCGATGCGATGAAGTGAATGTTTAAAAGTGATTATTCACAGGGCAGTTATCCGTTACATTACCATATTATCATGCAATGTACAATGTGTATTAAAATTCCAGTTCCTATACAGTGTTTTATGTTGTTTGGTTAACTTTCTTATTTCATTTCAATTTAAAATCAAATGCCGCGAGTACGACGAAGAACTGTGAGTGGCTGGAGGGAACGCGGACATGACCGCTTGCATCAACCTCTCAATTGAACATTTGACGGGTACATAGTGGCAGTACCACCGTTGTGATACATCCAACCTCCAACCTCAGACAAATTAACGTTAAATGTTAACATTGTAGTGATATTTTAAGCTTAACATTTTAAGCAAGAAAAGACTGACCGAGACAGTTAAGTTTTACTCTTTGTTACTATAGATGAAAGGTTTGTTTACCTCATTTGTGCAATTCACCATACCTTCAGGATCTTATTGGAAACTCCCAATCTGAAAAAAGGACTGTGATACTTATATCCAGAAATTATTTGGATAAAATTTGTCGATTCAATTCTGCCTTTACCATGGTCAGCTCCGAAGCTCATTAAGATGAGAAAATTCCACAGGGGATCGACAATTTCAAGATTCATGACACGTTTTACCACCGACTAGGTCCTCTAATTCCTCAAGAAGGTGATGATCCTGAATACGCACAGATATATAAGTGAGTACGACAATGTCACTAGAACTCAAAGGAGAATTATGCACAATTCAAACAAAAAATGCAAATGAAAAAATATGTGGGAAATAGGGTCACATGCCCATTTGCAAATCTTTGAAGACGTTGGCAGACATTCTGTAGTGACGAGAGCTCCGAGGAGTCAAGTGAGATTCTTAAACAATAAACATTCAATAAACTTGCTAAACGCCTAGAGAAAATTCTTAGGACACATACTGTCCTAAAAAATGACTATAGCTTAAAAAATTCAAATAATTTCATTGAAAAAACTAAAAGTCTCAACATTCAACAACACCATATTTTAGCATCGTTTGACATTACAAACCTATATACCAACGTTCCAATAGACAAAACTGTAGATTAGTTTTTAAAAACTTACAAGAAAATTCAAGCCTCCTACCTGAAGCCATAGAAGAAATAATATGTCTCCTAAAGGAAATATTAGGCCAAAATTATTTTTCGTTCAATGGAAAATTCTACAAGCAAAATGAAGGTCTTGCCATGGGCTCCCCTCTCTCGGGAATCCTGTCAGAAATCTATTTAAATAACATAGACAAATTTTTTCTGATAAAAACAAACATGTAAATAGAATAGTGAAATACTTTAGATATGTAGACGACACTATTATAATATTTAACGGCAACAACCGTCAACTTGATTTACTACACCAATATTTAAACTCTGTGTCG